TCCAACTGGTTCAAAATAGGGCCACCTGACTGTTAACAAGAACCAGTCCATGGGATCATATTACACCAGTTTTATATCATCTACACTGGCTACCAGTAGAAGTCTGGGCCCAATTTAAAGTGCTTGTATTTATATATAAAGCCCTAAATGGTTTGGGCCCTGGATTCCTAAAGGATCACCTTTTCCTGTACATCCCTACACGTCTGTTAAGGGCAAGGAAGGAGCCGTCCCCCAGGGAGGTGAGGGGGGTGGCAGCAAGAAGAAGAGCCTTCTCGGTGGTTATATCCCATCTCCGGAATAGGGTCCCCAGAGAAGGGAACCTAGCACTATCATTGTTTTAATTTTGGTGCCAGGCAAAGACGTATCTCTTCTCCAGGTATTTTAACAATGATAATCTTGTTAATCAAGATTAATGATAATCTTGTTTTTAAGATGATCCTGGTTTATAAGTTTATTTTAGTGTATATTATATATTTGTAGTTGCATATTTAAATCTTTTCTGTAATGATTTCATTTGTAGGGCTATGTTTTTGTATTATTGATGTTTTGTTGATGTTTTTAGTATGATTGATTTTAGAATGTTGTTGTTTTAGTTGTTGTAAGCTGCACAGGGAGCCCAGTCATGGGTTATGGTAGCATATAGATTGAATTAATTAATTAATTAATTAATTAATTAATTAAGGCAGGATACAATAGGAACCAAATGCAGCAAGGGTCAGGCCAGGTGCATGAGCTGACCTACACCACAGTCAGCAAGAAGATCCGTGTTGCTAGGGTAAGGCAGTGAGGCAGGCTACAGGTCAGGCAAGAGGCAGGCACAACACCAAACGGGAAGACCTGTGTGTCTGAGGCCAGTTCTGCATGAGGAGCCTGCTGGTATCTAGCTCTTCCTCCAGGACTCCCAGCAGAGCCTGGGACTGATCCTGCAAATGTGGTGGTGCTGCTGGCAGTGGTGCTGGCACCAGAGAAGCCCAGATCCTGACACAAGTTTCCAATAGCACACCCTTTACGGGACTCAGGGACTGCAGCAGCCCTTACGAGCATAATGGCTACAGTAGGGGAGGTACACACACACAGACTCTTCTTATGCACTCACCCAACATGTGAAGTTGCCATTAGGTCTCGCTGACTAGCCACTCACCCCATGCCCTCCACCAGCCATTCATTCTCTCCGCTGCAGCGCGATGTGACTGAATGCACATACCGAGGGCGTGTGCATCCCCTGAATGCAAGGAGCCCTGAACATACCAATTGGTACGCACACTGGGCCCATTTTCACTGCAGCTGAATGTGTGGGGCCAGCCGGTGTGCTCCTGCATCATTTTCACAGGAGACGTGGTCGTGCCTACCAATTCATGGGATGAGGCACATTAAAACCAGAAGTCTATGCTTTGTGCTTTTACGTGTAACAAAAGCCCCAGTGGTTTTCTGGAGGGGGTCAGTTCTGTCTCCCATTTGTCCCAGAAACAGTAAACAAAAACAGCATGAGATGGCAGCCAAGCCCATTTCTGACTGGTGCTGCTTCACTTCACATTCTCTTCCCTACCTCAGTCCACTCCCAACTCTCTTTTCATCTTGTGGGTTTTAAAATGTGTGTTTGCAAGCATAAGCATGCCCAGAGTTCCACGGCCCTGCAATGTGTCACAGGGATGTGATGGCAAGGAAAAGGGCTGGATATCCACACACACCTCTGCTCAAAATTGCCCTCTCTAGGAAAAGCAGCTGCTGAGCATTTAGGGCATGCCTCTGTGTACCATGCTAAATCTCTTCAGTGCAAAAACTATGTGGTATGTCTCTCCTTTCTTCATTCTGATTTTCTGTATCACCTTTTCCTTACCTAGTGCCCTTCAGGTGTTTTGGGCTTCAACTCACATCAGCCCAAGCCAACTTGGTCAGTGAACAGGAGCCCCGTAGTCCAAAACACCTGGAGAGAACCCAATTGGCAAAAGTTGTTCTAAAATATAGCCTTCATGCCCAACAGGAGAGGGGTTTGGGATTGCCAAATGAGCAGCTGGCTTCACGCAAGAAGCCGCCTGGGTTCACTAAAAATGTGTCATGTGACTTCAGAGGGCCTTTGCTGACACCCTCACTGCTTCCCTCAGTTCTGTTCTCTGTATTATTGATTTTCCTGTTCAGAAAAGCTACAATTTGCCTTCAGACTCACGGAGATCAATATGGAAGAAGGAAGAGAGAAGGAGTAAAAGAAATGGAAATCTACCAACTCCTTCAAAAAGCCAAGATCAATGTTTTTTTTCTGGTGGCTAGACAATGGTTCAAATTTCCCAGAAGCTCTGGTGCTCATATTTTTCAGTCAACATCTAGGACTTGATTCACTATTTTATGCACATAAATACAAAGGTAATTAATCACAGTAACTCACTGCAGTGTGTATATGTACCTACGAGGTAAATTGGTTGTCTTATAGCATCCTGCCAAGTGGTAGCAATTTTGTCACTATCCCAGATTTTTGATCTGTTATTGTCTGGAGTGAGACAGTTGGCTGCTTTGGACGTACATTTGCAAAGGCAGCTGGGTGGTCTCCAGAGGAAAAATCAGAAGTGTTGTTGGGAGTGGGGGAGCTTGGAATGAGGGGGTCAGACACTGAGTTGAGAGAAGTGGAGACGCTCATCTCAAGGCCAGACCATCCAGGTGGGCAGGCAGGCTCTGGGAATAGGCAAGGTATACAGCTGGTAGGAGGGGACTTAGAGCAGGGGAGTTGCTCAGACACAGATGAGATGGGCATGGCTCTTGACCCATGGCATAGTGTGAGCAGAGGAGGGTAGTCCAATTAGAGGGTCGGCCTGCAGAGAGGAGGCGTGCTCATTTTCAGAAGGCCCTTCCTGAAGGGATGGGGCCCAGGCAAGCTCCTAAGGAGAGCTCCTGGAGGTGATTGGGTTCAATGAACCGTGCTGCGCATGGTCAGAGATTCATCCGGAGCGTTTGCACATCTGGAAAATGCTTTGGGCAATAAAGAGCATTTTGCAAGAAACGCCTGTGGTTTTAAATGTGCAAAGGGAGAACCCTAGTTCTTGATCATTATTAAATGATATTTAAAAACCCAAGACAGCTTACAAGGTTCTCCTCCATACATCTAGTCAGATGTATGGCGAGCTTCTGTCTCTTATGAAGAATGACTTCTCAGATGAGTAGCACACCAAATGGGTACATCTTCAGTGAAATAACATGCTCTGCCTCTGTGCTATGGTCCCTCTCGTTGCATGTGCACCATGGTTATTAACCCTTTACCGAATGCTTGTCTGTGTTCACCTACACTCTTCCTTTATTCTAGTGTCATTCCATCAGTCTTTATATTACTAGCATGGTTGCTATCTTCTACCAAATTCCAAGCTGCCGTTAGTGAAATGTGCAGGAATTCACAAAGGCAGTCATCACCATACCTGTATTTCTAGAGCAGCAAATTGGCAGTTCCATTTCCGTGTCTTCCTTTGATGAAAACATGATTCCATTCTGCTTCAGTGAACCACCAGCCTTGGGCAAAAGAATCTTGTGGCATAAGGCGGAACATGCAATTAATGGCTTGATTGGGTTTTTCTATCTAGAATGGAAGGGTTTTCTGGTGCTATCATTCTGGACGTGTTGGGGTAGTGGTAAGCCAGTTAAGTCAAACCAACAGACAGCAACAGCAGGGCTTGTTGGGAGACTGGGACACCAGTGGATGAGAGAAGGGCTGATGCTATGAAGTGGTAGGACACGACCTTCTGAGGGATATAGTTATGGGAGGACTCGAGTAGTGAGAGCCTTTGAAGAAGGAAGCATGGAGTGGCAACCTAAAACATCTTTGGTTTCAAAATTGTCTGGGAAAGAATGCTATTGTTTGTCCTTTGAATATGTTGGTGGCCTTTTGCATTTGTTACATTGTTGAATGGTATAAACTAAAGCAGTCTTCCCCAAACTGGTGCCATCCAGATGTGCTGGTCGGTAATTCCCATAACTCACCACAAGCATCTGTAGGGCACCTGTGTGGAAAAGGCTGATTTAAACAAATGTGGGATGATTCTTCAATATGATAGGGTAATCCCCATCCCCATAATTAAGCAATTGCAATAGAAATTGCTTAACTAGGATCCAGAGACATTTACTTCATGGAAATATGAGAAGAACCAGCAATGTCTGTTCTACATCATGGTGAGAAACCTTTTATTCTTTTCAGAGGGATTAGGGCAAGAACTCATGCTTTAATAAATTCTGAAACACATTTGAAGGTTTCCATGTATTCTCTTTCATAGCAAAGCAGAATCAGATCAAGCTCTTTAGTTTCTGAATCCATTCTTTAGTTTTGTTTATTTGGACAAATCTTTGTTTTGCACCATAAGGATGCAATTCATATCTTGAATTCTACGTCAACTGTGAATATTACTTTCAGCTGTTCCATCAGCAGAGTTGGTCATGGCGGTGTCACAATGGCTCACGAAGGGTTCTTTTAGCTCTGCAGTGTGATTAGCTGCAGTCTTTTATTTTAGTCTCTCAAGAGGGTTTTGAGCAGGGCTGGCTGTACTGTGTACCATAAAATACATGACAGTTCTGTGCCCAACAATCTGACCTGAACTCCAAGAAAAGCTGCATTCGGCTGCCTGTTCATTACAACAGTACCAAGCAGGTTGGCACAATTTATCTGACTCTGCATGATGTCGTCTTATTCCCCCATCACAGGGGTGGGGCAAGAAGGTACAAAGGTCCATCTCCAACTACTGGGAATTTCACTCTGCTCCCTTTCCTCTTTCTGAGATCTCAGCAGATATTGTTCACAGTTTGCAACCATATCTTTGCAGCCCATAAAGACTTCGCCTTTACCTCTGTTCTAAAGACACCCCTGGTTTCCAGGAGACTCGACTTCTGTGCCCTCTACTACATTGTGCATGTTGTTGCACCACTGATTAGCTGCGGTGCAGCCACTGTGATTTAAAGCCTGCAGGTGGGATCATCTCTTAAGTAATGCCTGGCATCTACAAATTGCTCTCATGTACATGTTGCCGTTGTAGGTGGAAGATGCCGTGATGGACACATATGATTTCGTTTATGAGGATGTCCGGAACAATTCTTCCGATATCCGAAGACAGGAGCTGCACAACATCCACAAAACGGTGCCCTGCACGTATATTTTGGACTAAGCCAGGGTGGGGGATATTTGCAGGCTAGGGGCCAAATTCCAGCCTAGGAAAGGTCTTGGGGGCCACATCCCATACGTGGGCAAGGCCACTGGCACACGGCCAAGCCAGACTCAGAGTGGGTGAGGCCAAATGCGATGGCTATTATTTTAAGCCTACTCAGGAGTAAGCAGAACAAGCCCTACTCAGATGCTAAATGGGACTGGTTCACTTAGCAGCTTTTTGGAATCACATCCCAAATATCAAGGCACTGCAATGTTAGTCGCAAGAAAAGAGGACAAACTTCAAAAGTAAGCAGGACTGAATCACCCCGTTGCCGTCTCTTCTCTCTGCAAGGAAAGGCTCTTGCCTTAGAACAGAAATAAGAATTTATTTTCCCCTGCAGAGAAGGAGCAGAGTTGGAGAAGAGGCTAGCAAGCTTGACTGGGAACCCCAATGGGTAGTATCCAGCCCACAGGCCACATGTACTCCATCCCTGCTCTAGACAGTCCCAAGGAAAGCTATTTCAGGACGATGGAACCTATTCCAGAAATAGTCCAACATTTTGGTTTAGTTTTTGCTTTCTCATTTCTAATAAATGTACAAATTATATTTTGCACATGATCCAGCCAATTTTAAGTACACTGAAGCTCCGTTGATTTCTATGGAAGATACTTAAGAAAATCTAACCCCCACTGAAATCAATTATGGTTATTTGCTTAATTCTTTCATAGATGTTTATACCACTCTTCATTGGCACTTCCAGGGAGACTTACAAGAACATGAAATACACAGTAAATATAAACTCTAACCACATGTTTTAAAAAGACACATTGGAAGAAGAGTTTTAAAAGCCTGGGAAAATAAAAATGGGTTTGGCACTGGAAGGTAACAGTGTTGGCGCCAGGCAGGCCTTGCTTTTAAAGTGCTTTAATTTTGTCTCTTTATTTTTTCAAACACAAAGTGCCACTTTATGTGTATATTGTGCATACCTTTTAGTTCTCTACAGTGGCTTGCATAAGAAAACAGATTAGCAATTGGCACAGCCCAATGGGGGAAGATACTCCATTTAAGGCCAGTATCAAAAGACTCACTAAATTGCTAAGATTTTTACTATGGTCACCTACACTGATGTTTTGCAGTGGTGACACACTTAAATATGGCTGAACTTTATATTATTACATCTTATACCTGATGCCTGGCTTACAAAACCCCAGGATACACTTTCTGGGAACGTGCAATGAGGCTGTCCTAAGGAGAAGAGAATTCCTGCAGTGGATGGAAGTACAAACAACAACCTAGAAAGAACGCTCTGATCCTCCGTTAGCATTACTGGAGCACAAAAGAAATAGCAATGTTGTGGACATGTGCGAGGCTGAGCAGCATGGAGGGAAAACTTGTCAGAGAAGGAGGGAAGTATGCAAGTCCTCTACACACAGCAGACAGAAGGAAATTCCAGGTCCAGACTTTATGGATCTGTTTTTGATAAAAAATCTCTTTGGAGCCGTAGAGGAAGATCAATGTGCTCACTTAGCCTATGGACCTCTGCTTTTGTTTCTCAGCACACATAATTTAAAGCCATATTTTGCATTTCTAATCATAAGGGGGTGGGGAGTATGTGTGTGTGCCCCGCACCCACGGTAACTGCAAGTCCTACATTTAGATGGCATGAGTGCTGTCAAGGCACGAAAAGAACAAGAAGCCCATATTAACAGATGGGGAAACTGCAAAATATAATTTGGCTCAAAGCATACCGCAAAACAGATGAGGTTGTGGAACCCTTCCTAAAGATTGCAACCCCTGTGAGGACCATTGCCTAATCTGCTAGCAGTTATCAGAAAAAGACATCAAGGACAATTAAAAATCACTGTTCTTCTTGCAGCACAATTCTATGCACGGCTACACCCAAGTAAGACCCAGGGAACTCAGTGGGGTTTATACCCAGGTAGCAGTGCACAGGATTGCAGCCTTATCCTGGGGAAAAGCAGAAGACATACTTTTCTTTCTTCCTTAGCCAGGACTTGAATGGCTTCATTAACCAGTCAGGACGACCACAGTACAAAGGACATGTTTGTGCGCAGAAGAGGGAACGGGCATCTAGCCAGGGCTTATTTCATTTTAGCTATGGCCACTGCAGCTTTGTGTTCAGGGCTGCAGAGCATCTTTTAGCCTGAAGGCGGAATTCAATTTCAGAGAAGCTCTCTAGAGCTGTATTTCAGCGGTGAGAAGAGAACGTTGTCTGGACCTACCTGTCAAGCCCCCTGAAGGAGGCAGGGCATTTATATCCTCCATCAGGAAGCACCTTGTGCAAAAAGCTCCCGTGTGTCGAGAAGTAGTGCAGGGCAGCCCTTCTCCAGCCTGGTGCCCTCCTGATGTTTGAGGCTTCAACCATCATCAGCTCCAAGAAGCCCTGGAAGGTCTCATCCAAAATAGGTGGGGTAAGTCAGAGGTGATGGACACCACGTAAGATGCTGCAGCCCAGCACATCATTTCATGTTTCTGCGAAGGCAAACCCTGAATCAAGATTCCATGGACACACGGGATATTATCATGGATGATTTAAGGAACCCAGTTACATGGAGATGTCGTTCATTTCAGACCACTGCTTGTGAGGAGCAAGACACACATAATCAAGAAGACCACCCAAACGACAACCCTTTCACGAGTCCAGAAGTGAGGGCAAGTTTTGAAATAGTTCATATGGCAGTTCTGTGCCAACTACAACGTAAGATTAAACAGAAAGAGGAAGTTAATCTTTGCACATCATGTAACCTTTGTGCGTCGTTGTCTAGCTGGCATACACAGCATGGCCCAGGCAGGGCTGCATGTTGTACCTACCTCTTGGGGCCACAAAGTCTGTGTGGCTTATAAAGTGGTGTGTGGAGGCTTTTAGCAGCCCGTGCAGACAAATGGCATCATTTACCTCTTACTGCAGCAATGTGACTTACACTTGTGCAAAGGGCTTTGAAGTGCGCTTGCCAGAATCAATGGAGCAGAACCCACATCACGTGGAACGACAGGAACGTTCCTCCCCTCCCAAACTCCCTACACCGGTTGCAGTTGTATATCTTGCAGAAGTGCATAATACACAAGTCCTACTAGTCTCAGTTCAAGAAGTAGCCAAAATGGCATCGCCCATGCACAGCACCACATGAAATGCTGGCTGGTTGTGTAGGGTGGATGCTGATAAAGAGAAAGAGAATGAAGCAGCTGGAACTTGAGTGGTCAGGACCCTGAAAAGAAGTCCTCCATACCACAAAATTTGGTTGCAAGAACCCCCACTCTCATAAATGCTAATGCCAGTTTCAGTTTTACCGTGGTTGTGGAGCTGCATCCAAAACTGTACCATCCACATGCAAGAGAGAAGGTTGGCAGATGCACCAAGAACATTGTGGGGGTGGGGAGGCTAAGGGAATGGAGAAAACCAAACAGCCCCATAAGAATTCCTGTGGAATCGATGTTTGGAAAGCAGATGAACTGTGACGTAACTGGCACTTTTATTTTTTCTTGCAGTTTCTCTGTTGTGGGAAGAAGTCACCCTTTGGAGAAGTGGGCAGTATTGAAAAGGAGTTTTGCCCCTCAGCAATGGAGGGAACAAAAGAGGTAATCAAATGCTGTCCTTTGCTTTCGTTTTACATGTTACAGCAGCAGTAGGAGAACCCTTTCTTTTGTTTTAGAAATTGTAAAATTTGAAATGCTTTAGTACTGCTGAAAGCCTACTCTGGGAACCTTTTACATAGAAAGGCAGAGTAACAATGGAAGAATGAAAATAAGCAATTCTGCATTGTAGCCTGAATTTATTTGACTGAACATTACAATACTTATCCTGAAGATCTTTATAAAGCACTATAGGAACAAACTGTAAAACCAGACACACTTGCCTAGCTGCCACTGAAATGTGGTCACTGCATCTATTACTGTCTTTTTGTAGCTAAAGGGCAGTTTCATCTAATTTCAATGATATTTTTCCTGCTTGTTAGGGCCAAACTATATATTATGCTAAATGAGTAGTGTGCTGCAATGTCTGCGTTCTTTCATCTGTAATTAATTACAGATCTCAGGCCGGGCAATTGGGATCAGGATCCTTTCCCTCCCCAGCTGTAATTCACGTGAAAATGCCACCCTGTCCACTCCCACACGCAGGAGCATGAATCTTCAAAAAATTATCCTGATTCAGTTAACAGCAGAATACATTAGAATGCCGGCCAAGCGTTCACGTTGTTTTTGGAAGCCCTACTTTCACTGACTTATTTTTTGACATGCAGAACGATTCTCTAGCTTTCATGGGTGGAGAAAAACTTGGCAAATTATGAGTGAACGCCACTGAAGCTTCACTTAGTAGCCCTGTTAAATCTCTCCTGCAGCTGCTTGTTTCCATGCCTTGGTTCTTCTCTTCTGCACTTCTTCCCATCCAGACCACACTTTGCCTTCAGCCCTCGTCTTGTGCTTCTCAACGTATTGCCAGGATGCACCATTAAACACTGTGGGACATTGGGCTGTGGGCTGGCTGTCCCTTCGCCACACAACTGCTTTAGTGACTAGAGTGTTTGACTGAGACTCTGGAGCTCCAGGTTCTAGTCCCCACTGGACCACGAAGCGCACTGAGTGATTTGGGGCCAGTCACTGACTCTTCACCTACCCTGCCCTGCCCCACAGGGTTGTTGTAAGGATAAAATGGGGAGAAGCGAGACTACGCAAGCAGCCTTGGATTTCTTTGTAGGAAAGAGATGAGATATGGATGTAATACATACATAAAAACAATTTAGCATCCCTTGCCATGAGAACTGATTGCTGAGTCTTCTCACCATCCACAATTTTGCCCTCACTTTTCCTGAATGAGCATAAAAAAATGAAAATTTAAGAACATGTTGGGGCGGATATTGCGGGGGGAGGGCGGACTGGCTGCAAATGGCACTCAGGTGACAACGGACTGAACAAACAGATATGCTATTAAGCAGGACGTTGTGCAGAACGTAGCTTGGCCTGTGAGCATCTACCATGGAGAGGCAGCGTGCAGCTGTTTGTGCTCTGCGACCTTCCTGTTGACACTGGGGATTGCAGTGCTGCTGAGCAGAATGTATGTGTAGGCACCATATCAGCCCTTTCAATCCTGTATCTGATCACACCTGGACACAGTCCTTCCACTCACTTTGGCAATACATTGGTCACTGATTCGCTTCATTTAAGATATGGTAAAACCAACAAATGAATCCTCCGATTTAGAAAAGCGCAAATATTTGCTATACCCTCACAACCAGCACAAATAAACAGATCTTTAACATGCACTGAAGTGACAACAGCACGGGAACGGCTGAACCTCTATCAGAAAAGAGTTCCAATAGCCCCTCAAGTAATGCTTTTGCAGGACCCCAGAAAACAGCCATTGATTGGGAGAACATGCTCACCTTCAGAGGGAATACTATATGCCAGCCTTGCTCGGCTAGTATCTTCCGGATGCCTCAGACTACAGCTCCCATTTTCCACAAGCCATTGCCAGCTGGGAATGATGGAGGCTGTAATCAACACAGCTGAAACTTGATACATGCATGCTTCTGGTCACTCTGCATGCAAAAGGCATGGAAGCAAAGCTAGCAAGATTCAGCAGCAAGAAGACAGTGATCCTTAAGGACTCTCTGCTAGTGACCTGAGACTTGCCATTCTTTAGCATCACAAAGTTCCTTTACGGACTAACAGCAACCAAAACTGAATTTCTGAGTAAATAATTGGGCTGCATGAAAGTAAGGGAGAACCATGGTTCATTTCATTTTCATCTATTTGTTTCATTTCCACAGTGGCCTCTCAGTGGGCAGCAGCGAGGCAGGATACCTTTCGGCACACTGGTTACATTCATGTCTTTTCAAAACCAGCAGCCATGGCAGTTACGGAATTTGAAAGAAAGCAGTGGGGTGTGGCAGGGGGCTCGTGAGAATGTAAGAATATCCTTGCTGGGTCATACAACTGTATGTCTGATCAGCCCTATGAGAGATCTAGGCCAGCACCTTGTCTCTCACCAGATGCCTATGAGAAGGCCCCAAGCAAGACAGAAAGGTCTTTTCCCATTGCAGTACCACAGCAGCTGGTTTTCCAACGTGCATCCCACTGAGCTTATTCTCAAAAAGCATGCATAGCATCTCAGCCACACTTAAGTTCCCTCTTGTTCTTAAAGCTGTCTCTCCCGTGCTGCAGGATTGCCTCCAAGAGATCCAACGCTTCCTGAAAAAACACATGGCTTTTGTGTCTCTGCTGATGACCATCACAATATTCTTCATGGTAACTATGCATGCCAGTTGAAGCTATAATGCAGAGCTAAGGTTTTGTTTTGTGTAGAGAAGGGTAGCATAATTCTGCAGCAGTCACAGTATCTTGTTCAGTGGAAATATAAACCATTACATGGGAACCTTAATCATTTGCTTGAATTTAATCATTTCGTATGGGAACCTGACCTTTATTTATTAAATAAGCCTTCTAGTTTCTTCATTGTAAATAAAGCATTCAGGTTTTAAATTCTACTGTCAGTTGTACTTTCATGCTTCCCGAATTTGTGTATATGGAGAGAGACTAGGCTGCCAATTTATAAAGGGGTGGACCCAGAGTTAGGCTGGATTAATTGCACTGGTGGAAAGAGACATCCTCACCCTCCTGCTTCTCAGAGCAGTTCCTCCAGTCCCGCTGGAGGTGTGGCACAGTCAGGCAATGCCGCTGCATGGTGTGAGCCATGCTGTGCAGACACTGCTCCCCTAAGACTGGGCAGAGGGGCCTTCCATGAGCAAAGCCTTGCAGAAGGCAGATCCTGGACCCAATCCATCTCTTTCTTTGATTTCCATGTTAACAGACACTTGAACTTCATGTCATCCCAGGCTGCCTTATATCAGGCTACCTTAATTGACATGTAATATTGTCTACTCCAATAGGCAGTGGCTCTCCAGTGGCCTTCCCTAATCCGTGCCCTCCAGAACTTTTGAACTGTAACTCCCAGTTTTCTGACTGTCAGCCATGCTGGCTGGGGCCGATGGGAACTGACAGCCATAACATCTGAAGGATATCAGGTCAGGGAAGGCTTTGCTCCAGGGTCTTCCTTACCACCTGCTATCTGGTCTTTTCAAATGGAGATGCCAGGGATGAACCCTGAAAGCTTTGGATGCAAAGCATGAGTTCTACCACTAATTTATGTTCATATTAAAACGTTTTAAATTTGGTGGATGTTAAAATGGATCCCTAAAGGGAGTGGGTAAGTACATTCTTCAGCCCACCTTATCTCACGCCAAAAGTGGTGGGAGTTTTTACAAAAACCCATATGGATAAAAACAGCCTCAGCCAAAGCTGCATCTGTACTAAAAGTTGACACAATTCCTTTTTTGGAGCAGTGACTGGAATACAGCTGGAATTGCAGCTATTCCCCCCCCTCCCCCAAAGCCAACGCAAAGCCAAGAAGGCTCTATGTCTTAACTCCATGTGCTTCTCAGAAAGCGAACAGCCAACAATGGCAGCCACACTTGTTTGGGTTTACAATAAAAGGCCAACCTATGGGTTTGTGTAGGGGGACAGTTTGGTAACTGCTTTCTTATGACCAACCAAAATCCCACAGTCTACAAGCTTAAAATGGTTTGGGGATGTGTGGGAGAGTATCTGCTCTCTGTTCACATAATTGTACATAAACTGCTCTTATATTATGTACAATTGTTGAATTTTTAATTTATTAGCATCTCTGTAAACCACCCAGAGAGCTTTGGGTATTGGGTAGTATAGAAATACAGTGCATGCATGGATGGGCAAAACCACCTATCTTCTCTTACAGATGGGCCACTTACTTCTCCCTCTACTTTGTCCTGGATTGGACTTTGGGGGGGGGGGTTCATTCATAGGGTCGCCATAAGTCAGGCATCTTGACAGCACATGACAGCAGCTCCTTCTTTGTCAGCTTCCTTTCAGCTTCGTCAAGGTCTAGTCAGCAGATATAACTGTCTGTGCCAACTTGATGGCAAGTGCAAACAAGAAACAGCTCAGAACAAAGCTTTGGAAGTAACTGTTCCCACACTGTGGGGCTGCCTGCTCGAAGGAAGTGTTGGAACGACTATCCTTGCAAAGCTTTTGCTTGACGTCATTTCCTGTAGCTGTTTAGTCATACTGAATGAGCTTGTACAACATGCAAACAATTTTAGGAGGGAATATTACAGGCACATCCCTTTATGCACATAATTGGTATATTAAAAAAAGGGGGGGGCTACAGGCAGCCCCTCTAAGGTACCTCAGGGTCTGTGCATGGGCACCTCATGGATGCCTCCATTGGGATTGTGAAAGAGGGCCACTCTTTCACCATCCCAGTGGACATTGGATAACAATCTCTTTTATCTCTCAAAAGAAAAAAATGTTTAAAAAATAAAATGGCAAGCTGTGGCAAGCCTGAAATAGTGCTTTGCAGATTCAGGGAGCGACAAAAAGTGTGATACCCCTGCAGTGTCCCTGGGATCCCTGGGGAGGTCAAGTGGGAAGGAGGAAGCCTTGGAGTCTGGATATGCCAGACAGTCTGTTGGGCAAATCACTGCCCCTGTGGCTTGTAAGCCCAAAGGTTTACCATGTTGTGTGAACCCACCCATAGTGGTTTGTGACTCCTTACACTAGAGATGTAGCAAGGGAAGAGATATAAAAGGCTTCAATGACCACGTGAATGGGACATGCATATATGTATATGTGTAGATGGATGTACATGGATTTGTAGATAAATGTGTACTTGTCTTGGTCCTATGCACTATTACCAGGCAGCCCCTGGACAGTCTCAGATTTTTAATTCCCTTTCCTTTATCTGTTCACCCCAGGTATATGGCATGATCTTAACTTCATTCCTCTGGTACGCTATCCACTTTAAAGACAACTTGGACCGGAAGGGCAAGTACATTCTGGCAAGGCAACAGAAAAGATTTCCCATTTCTTCACAAGAGGAACAATTGCAGCTATCGAGACCATAATGGATTGGCTTGTTTCTCACAGCTATGAAAGGCCCTTCTTCTGATTCTTCTGTCTCCTTGTTTTTGCTTCACAAGTTCCCTGTTCTAAATATGGCTGGACTAATCTTATGTGACCAAGAAGGCTGCTGTATCTGTAGATAAAGCTCAGCCAGTATGTTGACCTGCGGGGACGTCAGAAGCAAGCAGGTTTGTTGAAGGCAGGATATAAACCACAAGTGTGCCTGCCAGCTGAAAGCTATCATTTAGAGACCCCAAAATAGCAAATCAAAACAGGACAACATGCCCAGTGGAAAGGAAACACATGGAAATTGTTCAGCATAATAATGAGGAAGAATCTTTTAAAATTCAGTTGAGACAGACAGAAAAGGAGAAAATAGCAAGTTATTTTACAATTGTATAGTTTCTTTTTGAGCCTATTTGCATTTTGCATACTTTCTCAGTTTAAATAAATTCATATACCTTAAATATAAATAATGGCTTTGCATATTTTAAAAAAGAACAAACCTGAACACAACTCAAATATGAAATAAATGTTGCATTAGACCTAGACATCTCAAGCTTTTCATGATTAAAGTGGAGTACTAGACCTACTAGATAGTCATCCAGCACAGCGTAAATTACTTCCTAAGTTTCAGATAAGTGGGATTTTATCATAACAAATGTCAGCTGGATCAGGGCCCTGATATTCTGAGTTCTGAATTCATCATTCAATTTGCAAAGACACCAGTATGATTTGAAATTCCACACTCTTATTTGTTCTAGTGTTGAGAAGTATTTGCTGCAAGCTCAGATACAAATATATGATAGCGATTATTCCCCAGCATCCTTCCTCTTGAACAGAACCGAAGGCAGCTTACAAGGTTCCTCTTTTCATTTTAGCCTCACAATAGCAACTCTGCGAGGCAAGGTTGAGTGTTTGTGACTGGCCCAAAGTCACCCAGTGAAGAATACAAACAGGATCTCTCAAGTCCCACTCCAGCATTGTAACAACTGCACCACAATGGCTCTCCGTGACTTTTGCTTTAAGGGAACTTTCTATACATCAAGTGTTGAAGTGCTAACATTTTCTTCTTGGCCAGGACAATTACAGTCTTCCAAGTAAGGGACATTCTTGAAGACTAACTTTCCACAGTGACAAGTCTAGCATTTAGGATTATATATGCTCTTTGTTTATGTAATCAGTTTTGACTCCAGTTTTGACTTGGCAGAACAATCAAGAACATGAGAACTGGTCAAATGGCAATTGCAAAGTCCTCAGATTATGAGTGGTCTGTACCTTAAAAGACACATTCCTCCACCCAGTACACCATAATCCTGGGCCTGTTACAGTTATTTATTTATTATGTAAAACAAACAAAGCCAACTAACCCCACCATGCATACGGCATGCAATAACACACACAACATCATGGAGAGGATGACCCCTTGGTTCTAATAGCTTTTCAAAAGCATCCCCTATAAGGGCTTTGCATCCTAATTTCAGGGGTAATTTATTGGGGAAATGGTTCCCCTCTCTGGTATATGCTGACTCCCTAAAGAGGATGGGTGTTGAGACCTGGATACTTCAAGCAGGCTTGGAATTATCATTTTGTTATTCATTGCTCCTTCACTGCCAATGTTATCTAGTAGCACAAAATACAGTGGTGTCTTGTACTTCAAACAACTCTAACTTTGAATTATCCACAGTTCGAATGCTAAAGTCGAGATAAAATTGCTCCAAAGTTTGAATGATGCTTCTACGTTCAAACAGCATACACAGTGAAAAAACATGGTTGCTTCATAAACGTCATCTGTTACACCCGAGTCATCTCACACTGTGAAATGTCTCTTGTGTAATGGTCATGCAGTACAGTAAGTGCAATTTTCATTTTATTCTACAGTACATATTTACATATTTTATTCATTGTTTTCAAGTTTTAATTAATAATTTTGACATGTAATTGTGTTATTTTTACCTTAAATTATGTGTATTTGCTGTTTAATTTATCAAAATGGGTATTGTTTAGGGTCTGGGAACGGATTAATTCACTTTTCATTTCTAACAGGGAAAGTTGATTCGGACTTCAAGCAATTCAGAGTTTGAACAGCCTCCTGAAACAAATTAAATTTGAAGTATGAGGCACCATCATATAACAAAAATGCTTCATGTTTTTCAAAGACTACGCATGAAAAAGATGGTGTGTGTTAAGGAAAAACAGTTCAAAGTAGAGGAAGGAAATGTGTAGCCCTTCAGACATTGTTGGATTGCAAATCCCATCAGCCTTAGTTAGCACAGCTAATGGTGAATGAGGATGGGAGTTGTGGCCTAGCCATATCTAGAAGACCACACATTTCCCCTTTCTGGTGTAAAGATACACTAGTAAAGTACCACTATTTTCTCCATATCACCAGGTAATACGGGTTCAATACTCAAGATACTACAGGTTTGTTCTTCCACTCCTGTGTGTCCTATTCTGTGGTTCCTTAATGCTCACAGGGGAAGTTGGTAGCATTTGAGACATTAAGAAACAGAACCTTGGATAGCTCCAAGTAGGTCCTGCTGCCTGGAAACCTCTCCCACTAGGTGAACAGGTGACTGTCCTAACCCCAAAAAGTAGCCTGTGCCTCATCATCATCAGAGTCCCCGCTGCACCCTAGAAGATCTGAGGGCTGAAGGTCCTGAATCTGGGACTCCTCTGCCCTGTGATTGCTCCCAGTGGGTTATATGCATATAAAGGCTCCAGTGATAAAAGGATCTTTGACCCAGGACAAGAGAGGAAAGTAATTTTCAGCCATGCCTACCTGCCACCCTCTGTGCCCCCTCCCCAAATCTGCTCTGCAGGGTTGGGGGAGCCTTTGGAACAGCAGGACAGGCAATACAGTTGGCTTCAAAGGAGGGGGAATTGTCAGATCCCTCCTCCTTTCTGTTCCACTGATGGAGGACTCTGCTGGATCAAAAAGCCTTCCAGCACCTGACAGATGCCAACTGGATGCAATCCAGTAGCTGCTGCCACTCTCAAGCAGTTCTGAGTTGCCAGCATGGAAAAAGTTTTAAACATAGATAAAGCTCTGAAAAGGGTCCATTCTAAAAAGAACTAGCTCTTGGCTATTACTGATAATGTTATCCCAAAGGCCAGATGCAAGGTCACGTGACTTCTGGCTGCTTCAAGGAAAATGAAATTAAAGTGCTCTTCTTTCTCTCCCTTATGCATACAAACAGTGTTGTTATACTTGCTGGGGTATTAGCATAATGTGTGCTAGGCAGTAAATCTTCCAACACAAGGAAGACATACACACAGCTGGCAATAGCTCTGGCTGAGACAAAAAGGACAAATGATATTCCAGTTGAGTCCTACACTTAACTTGCATGCAACTTTACTCAGCTCACATGGAATCAGCCTCTGGCCATGTCCTACTCCTTTCCCAAACATCTCACCATAATTCTGCTGAAATTGGCAAGCACTTAGGTAAATTGGGGGTGGGCAACTTGTGACTCTCCTACAATTCCCATCCTTCCTGACTAGAAGCCATGCTAGCTAGGGCTGATGGGACTTGTAGGCTAAAACATCTGAAGGCCCACAAGTTGCCAACCTCTAAAATAAATAGACAAGAGAAGGAAGTGGCAGGAAAGCGCTGCCATCGTCCCAGATGACGCCAAGGTAACAAGAAGATTTGAGTTTCTTGATGCAGAGCTTGGGTTCCCCTAGCACAGCATGTGAACTTGGCACTGCAATAACTAATTATGATGTATTCTTCTGAAAAAGGAAAATATTAGACACTTCAACCCACATGACAGTGAGTCAGAAAACTAGAAGAGATTCCACAGTGTCATTGCACTTGCTCTGCCAAACAACCAGTTTGAGTTTCGTTTCCAGAGATACCCACTCTGGAGGCACTGAATTCACTGCACCCACATCCTGCTTGTTCTTCCTTCAGTAAGTCTTACGGTGCCCTTAAGATAGCTTGGAACACGATCACTCCCTCCTGCCCCTTTGTTCTCTCTTCAAGCTAAACATATTGGATTTGTTAGCACTTTTTCCTATCAAATGTTTCACATTCTTTACTATAACTCTGTGAATCTGTTCCACTGTGTCCATTGTCATAGGGAAATGATCTCAACAAGGGCTTTGTAAATGAAATGTGCTTTTTCCAGCATCAAATGTGTGTTTATATTTGAGTTGTGAGCCACTTTAATCCAGCAGTGCTTCTCCTTAAGACGCCATAAACCAAGTAAGAGTAGGGAATCTCAGGCCAAGGCCACATCTGGCCTTCTTGGGGACCCAAGCCAGCCCTTCAAGATTCCCCAGAAGGTTATGCCCACTTCCCCTGACCCCACACTTTCCCCCTAGTCCCCAATTGGCTACGAATTGGTCAATGATTTCCTAGCCTTTAGCTTTTTCCTAGCTAATTTCCCCATCCTAAAGGCACAATTCAGTGCATCTTTAGACAAAAAAGGCATACAATTCCCAGCATGCCTCAGCCAGCATGACTAGCTCTAAGGACACTGGGAGCTGCAGGACCTTTTTCTAACTAAGCATGCATTGTATTGCAAACTAAAATGTTGAGAAGTCTCTCCTAAGACTTAGTTACTGGCAATAAGAGCTTCAACCTATGAGACGTAGCTGTTTCGGGTATTTTGACCCTGTCCCCTTTTGCTTGGCCCTATCCACTGCAAGAATATGTCCCCCAAGAGTATCCCCAACATTGAATTTGGCCCTCAGCCTGGAATAAGCCTCCATTCCTGTTCTAAAGTAACTGAAAGATTCAGTGCATTGCTGATTCTGAGGTCAGAGTAGGGAGTAGCTGCAGATAAAAACGGATACTTATTGAGTAAGGTAGAAATGGCAAGTACTGGCTGATATACTTGTGAGATGAGGCAATCTCCTCCAGCTCAATCTGGGATAGGAACAGTGCGTTTTTTGTAAAAAAAAAAAAAAAAAAAAGGTGTCAAAACTCACGTCGGCCAGCAGTAAGCACACACACCAATCCCAAGCCTCCGAGTCCGGAGCAGCTATCTCTCACTATCAGATAGCAAATCGCAGACACAATAGCAGCCTGCAGGCACTATGTTAATGATGTTTGCTGCTGATCTGCTAGCCAAAATCACTTCGTAAAATCCATTGAAAAAAAAGGTGCGGAACGCCGCTGCGTTCTATGACAAAAAAAAAGCCCTGGATAGGAATGTTTCCCTTGTCTGCCCATCTGAATGACACATCAGTTTGAACGGAGTCCCTAGCTTTCCTTTTCTCATTCCCCTGTGCAGCAGAAATAGGTTTTCAGCCAAAACCTGAAATGTTTCAATATGAGCAAAAAGCACTCTGTTCCAGTGAGCTGCAGTGAAGTCACAATCCCATGAAAAGGCTGAACTGTATTTAGCTCATTAACTTTCAATATGCTGGGTTGCGTTTTTCTTCCTGATCTGGGATGGCTAACACATGATGGCTTAGGACAGATCTGACTTCAGCAGCATTAAAATGCTAAACATAAACAGTTTTTGCCTTCATATGGTAGAAATGAAAAAAGTCTGCCTAGTCTGTGTTCCTGTCTTGGAGGAATGCTTAAAATGCACCCAGCCAGAAGGACTTTCCTGTTGTTATACAGAAGCAGAGCTGCATGAACCTGTGCCAGGGCTATTTTCAGTGCTATGAACAGCTCTGGAATATGTGGAAGCAGTAAAAGAGTGTGTATGAGTAGTATTTGCAGGCTCTGACCACTGGGGAACCCCTACTTGTTTCCCTACTTTGGCATTTCTCAAACTGGTGCTCTCCTGATGTGCTGAGATGCAACTCGGATTACCCCGTCAGCTGAATGTAGTCCAGCACATCAGAAGAGTACCAGGCTGGGGAATGTTGCTGTGACCCACAATGGGATTCTGCCCTGGCAGAATAAATAAAAAAAGGATTTATTTTGCAAAATAAAGGTCCCCTGTACCTCATGGTTGCAGAGAGGCCTGTTCAAACTTTTCACATCATTTATATACCTTCCCACACGATGGATGTCAGAAATGCTACTTTGGTTGGCTATTTGCCACTGAGCAGTTCTGCACACCAAGATTTAAGAAAGATTCAGAAAAATTAGAAAGGGTCCAGAGGAGGGCAACAAAAATGATCCAGGGTTTGGAAACATTGCCCTGTGAAGACAAACTGAGAGAACTGGGCATGTTCAGCCTTGAGAAGTGAAGACTGAGGGGGGACATATATACCTCTAGAAGTACCTCAAAAGCTGTCACAAAGAGGAAGATCAAGATCTCTTCTCGCTCATCCCAGATTGTAGTTCATGGAATAATCAATTCAAGCTGTAACAACCCTAGATATCAGGAAAAGTTCCCTCACTGTCAGAGTATTGACTGTTGAACCAGTTGCCTAGAGAGGCCATGGGCTCTCCCAGCCTAGAGACATTCAAGGCAAAAATGGATGGTCATCTGAGTGGTGTACACTGGTGTCCTGTTGCAGCAGGGAGCTGGACCTGGTTCCATGGCAGAGATTAAATGAATCATGGACTCTTTGATTCACTTGCTCAGCTGCTACACTACACCAGCAACAATGCCTCATTGTCTGGCTGGGAACACAAAACCTGTTACTTCTTCCCTTCTTTCTGGACCATAGCCAATGGGTTTTTGTGATGGAGAAAAGCTGCCTTTCCTTCTTATTTAGTTACTTATTCAAAGCATTCTTCCATTGGAAGAAAGATCCAAACTGGCTTAAAATAAGAAAACAAATAGCAAGATAAATGTTAAACACACACAAACTATTGAAATGAAAAGGGAGCCAGTAATGTAACCTAACATAGCCAAAGCAATATAAGCCCAGGAGAAAGCATTCAGAACCAATAAATCCATCAGCCTCCATCAAAAGCTTGCCAGAATAAACTGTTCTTGATAAAGCATAAAAAAGAAAACAGGGCCTTCCCTATGGAGGGCATTTCACAACATTGCCTCCACAACTGTAAAGCCTCAGCTCCTTAAAGCCAACTCCCAAATGTCTTGTGACTAAAAGAACCTCAGAGCAGGACATTAGACAGTGACTGGACAAAACTATGCAGAAGAAGGTGGTTCTTTAAGAACCCGGTCCCAAGGGTTTGGAGTATGGATAGGCGATTTGTGGCCTTCCAGATATTTTCACCCAGAAATCCCCCAGTTGCTCAGCATTAGCTATGCCAGCTAATTAGCAGTGCTGAGTCTTGTAGGCCCAAACATCTGGAGAGGCACTAATAACTACAGCTTAACAGACAAGCACCAACTTAAATTGACCACCGAAATGAATAAGCAACTAATTAAGGTAATGATGGACTGGATTAATATGCTGCAGCCATTTGACAAATGTTTAATTTCTCAAAATGGCTAGTGGTGCCATTTCTGATTGACTGAAGTTTCTGGATACATTCCAATGGCAGCCCCATGAAGAATACATTAACACGATCCAGTCTTGAGGTTATTAAGCATAGTTCACTCTTCCACTAAAACTAGTCCTTAGTTTGGATTGAATGGTATTCAACGTGGAGGAAGGTTCCTGTGCATATGAAAAGCACTGATAATATGTGTTAAAAACCTGTTAAATTCAGAAGTGCATGTTTATATATATTCAAGCTTGCCTCACAATATGGTAGATGCAGATGCTCTCTATGGACCACACAACAAATGTAGGAAACTCTTTCCAAGCAGACATAAGCAGGGTATTTTTTCCTTCTCTAAAGAAGCTGACAATTATGATGACAACTCCCACATGGCAGAAGATAAAATATTACCTCAGTCCGTACTGTCTCTATGAGCAGACTTTTTCTTCAGCCACTGCACTACTGCTTTGCAGCTATAATACTGACTGGATTTATAACCAGTTATAAATTGCCAGGTTACAATTTAGAGACAGAATTTGTCCTATAGGTGATCATCTGCCAAGCCTACTAAAGATGTATTCTGCATATGCAGTCTCCTACCAAGAGTCAAGGTCTGCTTGAGCAACGTTGATTTCCATAGTCTCATCCACATGCAAGGCCTGCTCTGGAAGAAACACTTCATGCTGCTTATGCTGAAAAGCCAGAAGTTGCCATTCTTGTAAAACTAAGTTAGAAAATAGATAAAACTATCAGCAAATTGCTGGAAAATGCCTCTGTTTTGTAGCAATCTTTTAGCACTTGTGAAAATGTTCATTATTGTTAGTATCAGTCTCACAGGGTCAATTCTCCATTGACCTTTCTCGCCATCAGTGCTGGTTTTTCCAAGGCCAAACTTGAAGTGCTATGTGAGTTTGTGACACCCCATTGTAAAGTCCAGGGCATGGATGAACAGAGGCACCAGGACCCAGATAATTCAGTCAGTAACCTATATGACCAAAGTCTAGTCACCAGCCAAATCCAAGTCATTATCCAGAGCAAGCCAAGATCAAACCAGGAGCAAACAGGGAAGCAAACAAGGCATAGTCCAGATAGCCAAGTTTAGTCAAAGGTCAGAAGCCGAGAAGATAGCATGAGGGCAGGGATACATTTGGGGCAGAGGCAGGAGCAGACAGGACCCAGACACCACAGAGAGCTTCAGTGCACTGGAAGCCAGTGTTGCTGAGGCAACTTCAGGCAGGAAGAGCCACTTCTTAAATAGCTCTTCCCCCAGAGCTCCCAGGTAGTGTTCATGAAGGCCCTGGCAGCTGCAGCGGAGTCTGGGAGTAATCCTGCCACTACCGGGGCTGTTATTCTGGCATTTTGCCAGCAGATGGAGCCCTGAAGCTTCCCAGATCCTGACACTCATTTACCGTATGATTCCCTATTGGGTAGAATCCCCTTAAGCCAAATAGGAGAAAGGCAAGGAACTGAACCCATGGCACTGAACCAGATCAGATAGTGGTAAATATTTGCCTAATTTGCTTTTCACTAGGGAAATTTCAACCTCTCCAAAAAATTAAATGCCATTTTCTTCCTAATAATCAGGTAAACTTGAGAATACTGAATAGTTCTAAACAAGTGAGGCTTACTGCAGATACCCTAGACCAGGGGTCGGCAAACTTTAACACTCAAAGAGCCATTTCAACCCATTTCCCACACAAAAGAAAACACCAGGAGCCGCAAAACCCTTTGACATCTAAAATGAAGATAACACTGCATATTTTACCTTAATGCTACGTATATCTTCATTATGATTTAGCTGCAGCTCTTGTTCAGTCACTAAAAACTGTTATTTCTAATCTTACATTATAAACTAATAGGACTTCTTTCATATATTTTGAATAGAACAGCCTCCTGAAGAATCAAAGTCAGTGCTAAAGGGTTGCATGCATTAAACAGCAAATCCCATAAGTTCATCAGCAGTAAAAGCAAATGACTCTACCCACGTATCATTAAACGTTTGGTTTTCTTCAGAAACTTTTCTTTTTTTCGATTTATCCATGGTTGGCCTATGAGGGGGGGCAGGGAGCTCAGTAAATCCACGTGGGTCTGCAGATCGGGGGCTGTGCTGGAGATACAGGTGTGTTTAGTGACTTATTAGCAGATAAACAGTCAAGTGCTGTGAATTGTGACAGGTCCCAAGTGCAGCTTTTAACATTCTGATAAAGGAGATTACATTGGGACAAAGAGAATCTTTTCAGCAGGTTTCATGTAACATGAGAGCCTGCAGGAAGCTTGTTTAGCAGAGGAAATGTAGCGATATACTTAACTAGCTGATTTACTTAACTAGCTAGAGCTGAGTTCCTGAGTGGAGCTTCGGGCAGATCAGCAGCTGTGCCGGCGCGTGTTTTGAGAGACAGAGCCGCAGCAGAAGGGTTCAAGAGCCACGTGTGGCTCCGGAGCCGCCAGTTGCTGACCTCTGCCCTAGACAAATATCCCTTCTAGTTTTAAAAAGATATAGTAGGCATATACTGACACAGAACCAAACACTGGAGATAAAGTAGTGCCAGTGATCTAAAACATGTTGTTATCAAAGATCAAGTGCTATTAACAAAACTACACGAGCTATTTGTTTTGTTGAGTTTTGTTGAGCTATTAACAAAACCACACGGTATCTCTTTTTCGTGTCTAAAAAGATGGTTGGCCAATCATGAGCACTTACTCAGGGGAGGTGTTCTGGTTTGCCCACAGTTTTCACTTAGAACTGCTCCTGGACAGGCCTTGGGTAACTGGTTTATTCTTGTGCATAGTCAGTCACTCAAAGAGCTTCTCTCTAGTCCCAACAGGTTCATGTCCCAAGGCTATAAACAAAGCAACCAAACCAGTAACACACTCAGATGCTAGCTCTATCCCCATATGTACTCAGGAAACACTGTCACAGGAACAAAAAAAATTACCGAGCCATTAGAGTCTTGTTCAATTGCTCATCTTCTCATGCAATATATGCCATCTTCTGTCAGCAATTGTGTTGTGTATTCACAAGAGGACAAACAGGACCAGTCTTTATAGAAAAGAATCAACAGGTACACATCTGGCAGAAATGGGAGTATCCAGAATCCAATGGGAGAAGAGCTTCTCAGGACTCTCGGTAACATGCCTTAAAATGGCCACTGAGGAACAAAGGAAGAAACAGTTGCCTTGTATTTATAATGTATTTTAATTTTACTATGTTTTATGGTTTGTTTTTAATTGTTATTTATTTTATCTGTATTTTAAATATATTTATACCGCACACTGTGAGCTGCCCAGACAGCCTTTGGTTATGGGGTAGCATACAAATGCAATAAATAAATAAACAAACTGTACGAGGGATGAGAGTGAGAGACTACAGAATTAGGATTCATCAAAGGGCTTGTTTCTGTTGCTAGAAAGTTGAGTAGGGATAATGGGAGGGAGCTTTGTCAAACTATGAAGCAATCCTATAGTCCCTAGGTGAGCCTCCCAAACAACAAAGGATTGTGCAGATCTCCCCTTCTGAATTTCAGCTCTCAGACCTCAGAAAGGAGAAGGGAACAATGCTAGATGCTCTCCAAGTTTGGAAAAGTGGCCTAAGAGGAAAAGAGGCATTCCCATGGGGTAAGAGACTGGAGAGGCTCAGGATAACTACTACAGCTCAGATTATCCTGAGCTTCTTTAGCCTCTTTTCTTCCTCCTTTAAACCACCTTTGCCTGATGGGCTAAAAAGTCAATCTAGCAAAATCTGCAGGGAAGATGGGGTAGTGAAGATCATCTCTGCCACTCCTCCAACACCTCCAAATTTGGGAGCTCCCAATTACCAAGAACACCATTAATAGACTGGCACCTTGCATGTGTTAATTGGTTTACTGAGTCTAGGGAGTTCGTGTTATCAGCAACAGCTGTACTGTGTTATGGTGTTATCAGCAACAGCTATACTGTTATTGTGTTATCAGCAACAGCAGTACTGTGAATGATCACCAGTAATAACATGATTGGCACTTAGTGCATTTAATTTCTTTCTGACCCCACTCTTTAACATTGTCCCTTCTACTGCATCCTCATTTGTTGCTATGTGCCATCAGGTTGTTCCCCAACTTACGGCAATGCTATGTATGAAGGCCCTCCAAAATGTCCTATCCATGGCAATCCTGGTCAGCTCTTACAAATTCCTTTGTTGAGTCAATCTCTCCCTATTTGGTTTCCCTTTTCTTCTCCTGCCTTCAACTTTCCCTGCTAAGATTGTCTTCCCCAATGTGTTTCGCCATCTCATGATGTGCTCCATCCCTCATATGTACTGTATAAAAAAACTGCAACTCTTCCTAATATACCATTGCAATGAATTATAGTCCCTGCACTGGAATAAATGGATTAGTCTTTAAGATACCATGGATATGGCACTTGGTAGCTCTTGTCTGCACTTGGAAACCCACAGATCCACTCTGTGGGTTATCTGCCCAAAAGCTCACAGTGTTCCCGACAGCCAATCAGGCATCTTGTGGGTCCCAGCCACCTCCTCCCTCAGGTACCCCAGGGACCCTTAGGGAGCACAGAGGGTTGCCCCTGCTTTCTGCAGCAAAGGGGATCGGAGTGATGGGAGTAGGCATTGGAGTGACTGGAGTAGGCCATCTTTCCAGCTGGATGTCAAGGTGGCAGTAGCAATCTCCACCCCATCATGTCATGGTGAAGCCTTTTTTAGGCTTGACCAGAGATGGGTCATGTCATGTGGGTTCAGATGACACAATAAGCCATCATGACTCCAACAAGCTGTGGGTGGTCAGGGTAGCTTATACCCCAAACTTAAGCCACCCTGACAAGTCCATTGGGCAGCATTAGCCCATCCTGCGAATCCGGTCATCTTCGCTGCCGATTGGTTACAGATCAGTTACCAGCGTTTTGATTAGCTGATAACACGCTGCTGAAACATTGAAGCAGTCAACAGGGCTGGTATGGTTTTCTTGGTCCAAAACCAGCCCACTGCTTTCATCGGCTTCCTCGTGTAGAGAGCAGGCTGTTGCAGCAGCCCCTCTGGCCGGCTCTGATTTCAATTTGCACGCTCCTACAGCGGCGGGCGACCCCGTCCTGCATGCAGCCGGCAGGAAGACCCCCGCTGCTGGGAGGGGGAAGGCGGCAGTGCGGAGCGGCAGCCTCCGGGAGGCAGTACGCTCCGCTCCGAGGCCTCTCCGGCTCGGCGCCAACGGGGGGGAGGAACCAGGATCCGCGCAAGGGTCAGGGGGAGGGTGTCTGCGAGGCAGAAAGAGGGTGGAGAAATAACGGGCAAATAATTCAGGCACCCAGCCTAGCTGTCTGTAGCCCCGGAAAACAACAACAGAGCCCATCGTCAGAAGCCGCGGTAGCTGTCGCAGCGCCTCGTTCTGCTTGCGGAAAACAGGCCAGACCCTCACCGGGCAGTCGAAGCGCAGAGCCGCAGCGATGGGAGTGGAAGGCTGCACCAAGTGCATCAAATACCTGCTATTCGTCTTCAATTTTGTCTTCTGGGTGAGTCGCGCCTTCGCCTGCTTTGTACCGTTGCTGAATTCAGCCCTTGAGGCGGCGGGCTCTCTCCGGAGGATGGCTTTGATTCGTGAGGCGCTGCTCCTTACCTCTTCCCTGCCCGCGGCTGCCGCCGCCACAGCCTGCCTCTGTGATCATTTCCCCCCCGAAATAATGAAGCTGGCTCCATAATGAAGCTGGCTCCGAAGGGAGCCCAGCAGGCGGATCTTTTTCTTGCTCGTAGCCTCGTGCATGCAAAAGAAGCTACGCGCTCCCAGCCGCTCTCCAGCGGCCTTTCCTTGCTTTCTGCGAGGCTAGGACGGTGAGATGGCTGCGTGCAAGCAGCTCCCCTTTCTGCAGAGCGGTGCATCCAGTATCAACCGGGTGTTGCTTGTTGCAGGACCTGGCTTTCGCTACACTGGGCTTCCTTTTGAAAAAGGATCGGGATGATAGAATGGAGCCGGAAAAGAAAGGCCGTGCATAGACAGCTTCTTGCAGAAATACCATATGCAAACTACAATTTCGTTCTCTTAAAAACCCCCGACGTAGTATCTTAAAAAACAAGCATTTCCTGATCTTAAATCAATGTGAGTTTTTGTAACCGCTACTCTCGTCGTTTATGAAAGTTTTTCTGCAGCTACTTCAGAGGTAGCAGGAAATGTTTTGGGGAGGCAACACCGCCTGTTTGCCCATTATTCAGGTCGAGTTTGTAACTTGATTGCAGGCAGAAGAAAATGCCTTAGTCAAAGATTTCTCATGAACTCCTAGGAAACAACATCCCAAAGAGATGTTTCAAAGAGACATCGAAATTTAGGAGACGTGTGGCTTTCATCCCCAACCCCAAATGTTCATACGCAGAGGGAAACATCAGTTTCCTTCTGGTAGACAAGTTTTTTTTAAAGAACCTTGCATTCTGTGGCTTACTGGGTTGTACATGCTCAGGTAAGAAGCTTTGGCATGTTACAAAGTTTTCATATGATGTGAAATGGCAAAAAAATCAGTTAAGCATTTAATTTCTTTCCTTCTGTCAGTTAATGCATTTTGAAAAATTATATACTTCTGCATCTAAGAACTAAGGCAAGTTTTGTTGGTTTGTTTGTTTTTTAATAAAGAGGAAGGGGAGTAGTGTTTGTGGGTGTGGAAGAGAGAGCTAAAAATATATGTGAGAAATAAGGCTGCTTTAAAATGGATGACTTGCAGTGCTTTTCAGTCTGCCTCTCATGATCTCATCTTTCCTTCTTGGCTGGGAAATTTTGCACCGACCACACCCCATATCTCAGAAGAACTTGGGCTTCTTGAAGTTCCCGTGACTTTGAGTAGAAGGGATTTGGATCTTCTAAGTTGATATTTGTTAAACCTTGGCACTTGAGTTCTACAAATTTGAAGGTTCCTATTAACTTGCCCTACCAATGACACCAGTAAGGGAACAGGGTTTTCTTGCGGAGAGGAGATGGCCTGCTACAAAACAGTTGCCTCTTAATTGCAATGTTCCATCAATGGGAACCAGTAGTGGAACTTGTTCAAAGCGTTCCTTTGAGTTCCAACGCAAGTGTGAAGTATTCCTTCTTCCTTTAAATGCTTAAATGTGTCAACACCATCATTGATGCCAGGGCCAATGGGAACAAGGGAGCCAAGGTCTACCCTTTTATAGGAATGTTTTCTGTGAGGAAAGAAATTAGCTTGAAGAGTTGCTAAAGCCAGTGGGCATCCACTCCATTTTTAATGCCCTGTTGCAGTTCTGCCCTGCATGGCTGCTGCCAACTCAACAATCAGTCACTTTTCAAAGTATAATCAAATATATCAAATTATAACAGCTTTGAATTGTAGATGAGTAATTAAGTGACTGCCTTTGTGTCTGCTGTATGCTGATGTAAGACCACTGTGTTGTGTCTGCTGTACATCCTTTCTGGTGACCAGTGGTTTAGAAGCAAAGAACAAAATCCGTTACATTCCGTGTTTGTTGCAAAGATCTGTAGGCTACGTTCCTCTGTCCACCTTGTTTGGGAATAAGCTCCATTGAATTTAATGAAGCTTAAGTCTCCTCAAAGATGCATAGGACAGCATGTGCATTAACATTGAGATTCCTGGTCATTCACTGTAATTTTCTGGTCATTTTGTTTTGATGTACTTGAGAACTATACCCCCTTTTCATTTTTTCTTGCTGGAATTAACATTGCTTCCCACCTATGCCATTTTACTTTGCCACCCCAACCTGTAGCTAATATTTTCTGTTGAATTATGAGGCCAAAAAGTCTTTGGGCAAGGAGTGGTAAAAGTCTATTATTAGTTTAAGCTTAAGGTGATGGCAGGGGTTTCCCCTTAGCAAATTATGTTACATTGCCTTACACCAGGGGTCTCAAACTCAACTTACCTGGGGGCCGCGGGAAGTAGAGTCTGGGTGAGGCTGGGCCACATCGAGTATTCCACCACCGCGGTGGGGATGGGCCGCTCATCCCACGGCCGGCCCGGGCGCCGCCGGCGCTTTGAAGGCCGCAGGGCCCCTCTCCCGTGCCCCGCCCGTCCCGGCAAGTGGCCCGCGAGTTTGAGACCCCTGCCTTACACTGTCACCTTCTTTCCCCTCCAACCACTTTTTAAAGTAGCAGGGCTAGTTATAGCTGTTGGCATATCAGGAGAGTTTTGCCAAGAATGCATTATTTGGTGATTTGTTGATGATATGTAAATAGGGTGTGCTTCCTTGCATGGTCCCGCAGTGAATTTATGAGGATTTGCAAATATGTTCATTCTGCTGTTTTCTTTTAATCCTGTTGGTCTGAGCTGAAATGTTGGACTTTGAATCTTCCTCCTATACATACTGTAAATATTACTCAATGATTCTAAGACATTCATGTATGTTTTTATATTGCACAGCTGCACATAAGAATAATTCTGATATGTATCTTTCACCAAGTCTTTCTAAGAGCAATTCCCAGTTCCTACTGATCATCCCTGAATAAATGTGTATAAAATGTATGACCTGTTCTTAGATCAATACATTCTATCAGATTGTTCATTCCAGGGATATTGGGAGTATCCATAATTGCAGGAATGTGTCCATGTACTGTTAGCATGCAGGTCCATACATGCAGTCCTGTGTCTGGAGATGGAAGGAAGGGATCGCATAAGCACAGTGAGGAAAAGCAATGGACTTGCATTCATGAACCAGCCCTTAGCTAGACGAAGGGAAGCTCAATTTTGTTCTGACTTTGGGATGCTCAGTGGGATACCGTATCCCACTGAGCACCACATTCCAACCCATGAGAATGTAATGAGAACAGTGAAGTAGGATTCCAGTCATTAAGAGAATGATGGAGAACAAGGAGGATGGGTGTAATTGGAAGGCTCCTTCTGAAGGTATAATTAAGGTTTAAGGCAACATGTGAAAGTTTGAAAAGAACTGGGAGATTTGAGAATTGCTATATGCACAAGGGAGAAGACATGATTTACTGTGCTAAAAACAAGGTTCTTCTGTAGTAACTGAAATACCCTCATTTGACTAAAATTAAAGGGATGGAATGAGCTATCATTTCAGTTAATTCCATTCACAATACCTTCCACAGAGAATGAGAAAACATCATATCTCCTCCTCTTTTTCTGTTCTCTATTCAAAACTCTTACTCACAAATCTTTTTCTTACCCTGTTTTGTTTGCTTCCTGTTGCTGTAATTTGGCATTGTATTAAGGGCATGTGACCCTGGAAATGACAAAATTTAGCAGGATGGATATGTAAGAGCCATTGGCCAACCTGTCTGCTCACAGCAGTCGTTTGATTTGTCACAAGCATCTCATAATAAGTGTAGCTTTGTGATAAGAGCTCCTTTGTTTTCTGAAAGTTTCGTTCTATGCACAATTGTGGGGGCCTTTTTTATGTTAAGCAATCATTCAGGATGGAGGTATTCTATCATAAAGGCAAGATTGGCATGAATGATAGAGGCCTCTTTCTGGTCTTTCAGTTTCCCTCAGCTCACTCTTGGATTACCCTGTGAACATACCAAGGCCTTTTTTAATACATGTATGTTCATCATTTGACTTTCAGCGGAATAAAGCATCATGTATGAGATAATAGAAACCTGTAATTGTATAATTTTGTATCATTTGTTTTTGTTTTTATTTTTTTATTTATTTTTCGATTTATATCCTGCCTTTTTCCTACAAAGGGCTCAAGGCAGCTTACATCATTCTCCTCCTCAATCTTATCCCCACAACAACAACCCTGTGAGGCAGGTTGGGCTGAGAGTCTGTGACTGGCCCAAAGTCACCCAGTTGGCTCCATGGCGGAGCGGTGACTAGAACCCAGACCGCCTGAGTCCCAGTCCCATGCTCTTAACCACTACACCACACTGGCCCTGCAGACTGTTTCATGCTGTTCTGCAGATAGCTTTACAGTGAGCCTGATTGGCATGGTTTGCCTCCATCTCCATGATTGTTCTCATCCCGTTTGGGGTCTAGGTAAACTGGGCTTCTACTCACATGGTTCTTATACTACTGACATCACCAGATTAAGCATGGTTGGAAGTATGTGGTTTGCTAAATGCACAGTTAGTGGAACCCTATGGGCAGAAGTCTGTACGCCAACTAAGATGGTTGTTCCCATATTAGTGCAAAAAGGGGTGGGGGTCGCATAAGGCTGTAGAGGGTGAATAAGCTAGAAGGATTCTGTGAGCAAATGATACTTGTGGAACTATTTGTCTGCCTGATCTAAATGGAAGCAGTTTGCAAAGCACATTTTACTTTAGTCGTGGGAGCTGGACCCTTTGGGATCTGATCAACAGTTCCTACCCACAAGTTCTGTGGCTTCCTGGCATACAAAACCCTGTGAAAACTAGAAAGATTCCCAGGACTGATCCCAGTCTGACTGGTTAGTATGCAAGTCTGCTCTTTCCCTTGTGCTCCTCTGCCTCCCTTACTCATTTGCTTATCTGTGGTCTGGCACTGTTGGCAACCTTGTGTGAAACAGAAGAAAAACTTTGGCAGTTCCCTACAACAGCATTGGCATATCAAAGAGAAGC